CCTTCCTTCCCGAATGAGGTTGCGGATTTTAAATTTGAAAATTGATCTTTGTGTTTCTCTCAATGGAGATTCACATGGTGTCTGCGTTATGTCACCTGACAAGAGTAAGTCCAGGTTGTTACAGTGATATTATCATCGGGCAGCTCCCAATACTTCACTTCCTGGTAGACCACCATACCGACAACATCCCATTTTTAACACGAATTTCACGTTTCGGAACGTCTGGAGGTTGAGCGCTTTTGTCAACCCACATAGCATATCGTTTATTGTAATCATACATTACCCATTTATTACCACTAGTAATGGTTTGATTCCAACATTTATGTGTGCAACGCAGGATGACAAGATTCAAACAGGTGCCCCCCCCCCCTTTTTTCTTTGAAAAAAAAGTTGCGTTGAGCCAAAAGGTGTTGTCAATGTCTTCCCACTTTTTTGACTTTGCCGAGGGTTTCCAATCTATGGCTTCTTCATAAAAGGCTGCCACTGATTTACTTGATATATCCAGCACAGTTTGAGACGGGTCCCTTTCTAACCCGGTTTTCAATGCATCCAAACCTAAGCCGTTCGCCTTTTTTAAAGGGGATTTTCGTCCAACGAGAATTCTGCTTTTTCAAATTGATGAATCCAGGTTGTGATAGTGGTTTGAAAGGGTACATCAACGTTGTTAACCTCCACTAATTGGCGATCGATTTCAGCTAATTTAAGATCAGATAGAAGCAAATATAAAATGGCAGTCCGAAAATGGAAATTGTTAGGGGCAAAAACGGTGGGCATATCTCACTACACGGAAAGTGGAGAATGATCTCCGTTTGGGTGTAGACTTTATTAGACCCCACCAATACACTGATAAAACGACAGCTTCCTCGCCTTTTCGACCCTCATTAGCCGAGAAACACTTCAAAAGCCGCGTTGAGACCGAAAAATGGGTGGTCGCCTACTTTGGGTCGCAGCCAACAACCATTATTTTTTAGCCAACCTAATGGGTCTGTTTCACACCCTCAAAATATCTCAAAAAGATTGGGAACTTGAAAGTGGAGCTCCAGACTCCTGAAAACGATCAAAATGACCGAAAATGAAATGAAAAAAACGTTTTTGCATATTTTATCGAAAGGTGCTGTATATTGGCTCGAAGTTGTTGGGTTGGGTAGCACTCTATTAGAGTGTTTCGGTATGCCCAATGAAACCTGGATTGAAAAATGTTTTCATAAATTTAACTTCAAAAATTCCTCTTCCTATTCTGCATTCCTATTCTGCAAGAAACAATAACAACTCGCATCTTCCTTCTATCTCTATTCCCAGTCAACAACTTCTAGCATTTCGAAAATTCGAAACTTTTCAAAAATCAAAAAAATCTCTTCATTTCAGGAATCCGCTTAAACGACATAGTCCAAATGGCCACAGAAAAAGAAAACATTGAGCCGGATTATCGGATAAGAACGATTGAGAGTTTATCCAGACATATTGAATCCGCACTAAGGTGAGTGTGTGTTTCTTTTAATCCATGACGAAACGTTTCTCTCGGTGTTGATTTGTTTTTCTTCCATTTTAAAATCTTGAGACGGAAATTTCAAGGGATCATCTACATAATAAATTTCGACTGATGCTTATTCATCGCTTTAATTTTCTTCAGGTATCAACACACAGCCACGTCACGGACACAATATACGCTGCATCGGGTGTTCAAGTGCTTCAATATGAGGTACTACGAGAGTTATGTGACCGGAATGTATTTGGTGAGTTTTTGTTTTTGTTATTATTTACTATTTGGGTTGAAGTTGGGGATATTTGAGTTCATTAAAGGACTACTAAGGAATCAGAGATCATCAATCTATCCAGACTGAACTCTTTGAACCTATGAGAACCTGTCTGAAAAAAGACCTAAGAGCAATCGTAAATTAATCAACTTGCAGGCCACAAAAATTATGTACGTCGGAAACATTCTCACAAATTTGGTACTTGTCAACAAGTTTCTGGAGACTGATGAATACTCGATCTATGGATTGGGCGTTCTGAGGGACTTGCTGTTTGGTAGGACATGGATCGAATCGGGAAACTTTCCCAGGGTCACATTAGTGAGTTTTTCTTTGAAAGTTCTCCACAACCCAAAATTCGAATTTCAGTGCGATTTCGAGGTACGCGTTCTGGGGAACAATCAACGACACTCGGTCCAGTGTGTTCTGGTAATCAACATTTTCAACGAAAAAATATTCATTCTCATCTGGCTTTGGTTCACACTATTATTTGTCGCGTCGACATTGGACATGCTCTATTGGTTCAGTATATCCATGTTTCATAGGGATCGCTTTCGTTTTGTGCTCCGACATCTCGAGCTCACATCGGACCCCGATAAGCCAGAATTGTTTAGGAAAGAGAAGCGAAAACAAGTTGAACACTTTCTGAGGACCTATCTCAAAGTAAGATTAATCCTTCTTCGCAGCGAAATCTATTTATTGATTTTGTAGGTTGATGGTGTTCTAGTCCTTCGAATGATTGCTCTTCACGCTGGTGTAATGTTCTGTACAGAGATTACCGATGCATTATGGAAGAGATATTTAAGTCAACATCCCGAGAATCTCATTGACGACGATTCGTCACTGATCACTTTTGCCAGGTGGGTTGTTGTGGTGTTTGATCAGAGGATTAAAAATATTATTCCTCAGAGCACAATCGATTCGAAGAAAGAGAAATGATAGCTCGAATTCGGATGGTCAGAATCATCAGAGACTCGGAAGGATATTGTCACATAGGAGTACTGGTGGAAGTTTCAGATTAAATAGGACACAGTCTACCAATAGGAGTTTGACAACAGAGAACAAAGGTTAGCGATTCTTGAAATTATTGAACTGTTGTTCTAGAGTTTGTATTAGCTACAGAATCAAGGATGTTTGAAAGGGACTTTTAATTTTTGTAATGTTGTGTTTTTTTGTAATGTTGTGAAGTCCGAGTTTCAGAAATCTGAAATTTCGGAATATTCCGATTTTGAAAACTTCGGAATCCCACCTATCCACCACAAAAGGGCAAAAAATTGAAAAAGATATTTCGAAATCATAAATAAATTAAAAGTTATTACGTTCTAAACCCACAATGAAACTTTTCGCTTGCGTTTTTTATATACCGTAGCCAAAAAAGGTCCAATTCCGAAAAAAGACGCTATGGTAATTGGAGGGGAGGGTTAGGGCACCCAAATTTTTTGAATTTGGCCTTATGTATCGGATGTCCCTGTACAAGGGAAGCAAATTTTAAACAAAAAACCAAAATTTTTTAAAAAGTAATACAGTAAAAAAATACTGAAACTCACGAAATTCGGCGAATTTTCACATTTTTTCCGAAAAAAAGCTTCGACAATAAAGCCTAATTCCGTTCCTGTTACAGACGGTTATGTGGATTTTATTATCTATGTTCTGAATATTTTCAGCAACCCCAACGGGTACGAATGCAGCAGCTTCTCCGAATACACCTCCACCAGTACCCAAGTAAGTACTCTCTAATCTTCCATTGCTCATTCTTAACTTTATCAGAAACGCTTCCAGTTCCCGATTCGGAAAAGTGAAACCCCGTCGAACAGTGGTCACAATAAACTCTCAACAAAACGATGCACGTACAAGTCCGGATCCAATCCAAGAAATGAGTCGTTTGGAGAATGTACCGCTAGCTGTATAATAGTTCTATATTCCTATTTTATTCTCCCTCAAAAACTTTCCTCTAATTTCACTGAACTTCCTCCTCATCACACACATCTTTTATTAATTTACGGGTTTTCAATTTCCCCCAATGTATTCAATTATTACGAGTCGCAAAACCCTTTTCACCTAATTCTTTCAACACTTTTTTCTCTCCTTTGAACCAAATCTTTCAATTTTTCAAACCAAATTTTTTCTGTCTCCTCGAAATGTCCCTATGTCAGTCATTCTTTACTGTATTTTATTTTTTTGACATTATAATCGTTTTTTTTTAATTGAAAATTTTAAGTGTTTGCTCAAATATGAATTTATTATTATCATTATTATATATGGATTCAAAAATTGTTGGTGATCATTTGGTGGAAAATTAATTAGAGAAAAAAAATCAATTAAAAATAGAACTTATTAAGATTATGATGATCATTATTACCTAAGATTTTTGTATATATACAGACACTTTGAGAATTATTTTTCCATTTTTAAAGAAGTCTATCCAAGCTGATACTCTTCCTCCTCTTCGCCAAAAGTCTCTTGTTCAATGAAGACGGTTGGTGTACAATTGAAGAAGGCTGGTGTACAATTCGTTTTGGAGCCGCGATTCTACGCTGAAATGATTGAGAATTCAATTATTGACAAATACAAAAAACAGGTTACTTACACTGTATACAAATGGAGGTCTGGCTGGTTTCCGACGAATCGCATCGTTATACATTGGGACGTCCAGAAGATTTATGGATGAGAAGCGCGTCTTTTCTGGGTCAGCGAATGCACGGACGGTGTAGTCGGCAGTCTCGACGCGGAATGACCTGATACCGTATTCCTCGAGAAGTTGGAACATCTGAAAATAAATTATTCAAAGCGAGAGTGTTATCAGAGTTGTTCAAATCGAGAAATCGGGAATACCGTTTTCCCTGTTTCCCCGGAAAATTTTGGGATTTTTTCCCGGGAAAAAAAGTTCCTGAAATGTCCCTATTTTTTCTCAATTTCTGTTTATTGATTTTCTAGGTTTGAGAAAAATAGTCGAAAATTAATTGAAAACCAATTTCCCGAGAACTCCCGGAAAAAAAAATTTCGGGAAAATTTTCCGGAAGGTGATTTTACCAAAAAATATTTCCTGAACAAATATGAATGCTCTCTGACTAACCTTCTCGTTAAATGTAACTTTTCCAATTGGACTTCTTCTCACCACTCTCGGATCATCTTGGATTCTTGACAGCGGCAGTTTCTTCGAAGCTCTTCTTTTCATCATTGCCATTTCTCTTTGCTTTCTTCTTAGTCTTCGTTCTTTCAGTTGAGTTTTTCGCCTTTTCAGAATTTTCTCCATTTCCGCTTCTCTGGCTTCCCTTTCCGCACTTTTGATCGCCTGAACAATAAAAAAATGAATTGGATAATAATTTTGTTAAGAATCTTACTTTCTCCAATTGAGCTTTTGTGAGTCTTGTCTTCCTTTTAATCTTGATCGGTGCTCTTCTGATCTCTCTCCCAACCATCAATTCATCTCGAAGAAAATTTTGCTCATTATGAGACAAAAACATCATTTTGGTAGGTTCCAATGGTTGTCGAACAGCTGGATAATTCTCATCTTCTTCAATCAAAACGGCATTCTGAGAAAGTGCTGGAGCATCTCTTCTCCTATGATCTTTCTCATCTCCATACTCTACTTTCTGCTTGGAAACTGCACTAGTTGCCTCTCCCATATGAACCTTATGCTTCTTCTGTGAATTCGTCATTTCTAAATCTGTTTGAAGTTTCTTCTCGATTCGCTCAGCAGCGTTGGTATAGACCAGCTATAATGAAAGAGTTTGAAAATAGAATTTCTTTTAAAAAAGTAAACTCACATCTTCCACAAAATCCAAAAAATCATTGATTGCTCCTTTCGAACCTTGTGGTAAGTTCACATTCTGAACTTTCTGCAGAATAATGTTCAAAAGTTCTTGAGCGCCAAACTGCTGAATGAATTTGGCCGTTTCAAATTGTAGCTTGATACGTTTTGAGGAATTGGTGAGGTCCGCAAAGAAAGAGGCATCTGAAATAACTTTGAATAATCATATTTTTTTTTGAATGAATACTAACCATCGAGATCAAAAGGATCATAACTGCTATAAGCATCTGGATCCTCTGTTGTATGTTGTATTTCCTGGAAAAAAAACAAAATTTGAACGAACTCTAATTTTTGTTCCTACCTGATCACTTTTCCTCACACTAATCTTGCTAAAAACTGGCTGAAATTCATGACACAGTCCCAATGAAAGGGTAAAGAATAAAATGGATATGTCTGTCCGCATTGTTGGACGGACCGCCGCAAAAAATTGACGAATGAAAGAAAGAATAGAGTGAAAATGTCTTTGAGATTTCACTAAGAACTCTCACACAGGAACAGTGGGCGGATTCAGATTCGCTATCGCCGATTTCGCCGAGATTTTGAAGATAAATGCTGGTTAAACCATAGCAAAAACTACTAGAAATATTCAGGTTATCTGCCGAATCAATCTGTATTACTTTTAAACGATTCGCTACTTGAATACACACTTTTACTTTTTTAAATTTAATTTATTATCCGTTTGGATTTTCCGGTTGAGAAATTTCACTGCAAGCTACAGTATCTTTCAGGAAGATCTTTGATTCCATAAAGAGAAAGAGAAATTTTACAGGTGACAAGTACTCTACCAAGTACTGTTTATTGAGTTTTTATTATACCCCATAAAACCGTTTTGATAGGTACAGGTACAGTGTATAAAAGAAGATGAATGAGATGGTATTGCTCACTTGCAATGAGTGGAAAACTAATCCTATTCCTCCTTTTCGGAGCGGTTTTCCTGATTGAAGGCATTAGCCGATCTCCGATGCAGCGGGACGTCGCTGCAGAGGAAAGTTGTGAAGAAGACGACGGTGAGTATGATTCCCAAGGAAGACCAACTAGAGTTGGAGCACCAAAACCAAAACCAAAACGAAAGGAGGCGGATGATGATTGGGATGGAGTTGAAGATCCCACGGATGAGGACTATTTGAGATACGAGAACACCAACCAAGAGGGAGTCTGTATTCTTGGTAGGAAATCACTTGGTTCTAGGAACTTCTAGCAGACTCCTCACATCGTTTTAGAGCGTGGGAAGTGTCCTTCAGGAGAGTGGAGAATGTTCAAGAGACGCAATGAATCTGTCTGCCTGAAAATTTTTGGAACTATCCATAAAATTGATGGTCGAACCGCTGCGGATATTTGCCGAGCAAACCACAACGCTCGCATGATGACAGTGGATAGTCAAGAAGAGAGAGAATGGATTTATAGTAATATTCATAATTGTATTTTTGACTTCTAGAGTTATTTCAGCAACTGAACTCGGTGGAAACTCTACATATCATTATATGTACGTTGCTGGATATCGTAGTCGACGTTGTAAAAATGCAGTCTGCACTGCTAGTATGGATGTGAGAAAATGTCTTTGTTACTTCAATCAAACTATTTTTTAGGCGTTCGAGGAAGTCGACAGGACAGCGGATCACAGATTTATCTATTCCAAATGGGAGGGAATACTCAACGAATACTATGATTTGTAAGATAAGGAAATGTGGACAAACTCAAAACCGATTGATTTCAGTGAGTACAGTAATTGCCTGGCTATGCACGTAATGCCTCATCCGATCAGCCTACCAAATTTCATTCGAGATTGGCCATGCAAACAAGCTTGGTTAAACACCGTTCTTTGTGGAGTTACTGTTATGTAACTTTGGTGGATAAAGTGAATGAACATTTCTATGAAACGAGTTGATTTACCACAAGAAAAGAAGAATTCCCTGAAAATGGCGGGAGGGCATGATATTCAAATCAAGGGGGTAAGTCGACTACAGCTCTGGAGCTGGGCAATATGAAATGCTGGTGTGAACAAGACAAAGCTCCAATGTAATAAAAACATAATAGTACATTTCTATTGAATTCCCAGTAATAGGAGAAGGGGTTTTATTGAATTCTAGAAAAACACCAAAAAGAAAAACATTTACCACCTGTACTATACAATAAAACCTGTACTATTCAAATGACCCCTAACTTTCAAATGCGAGTCAGTTTATCTTGGTTCTTGTGGAAGATATCAAAAATTTGTCAACTGAGAAAATATTTTTGATGTTATGATAAGCCTTTTGCCAATTTATAACTTTTTGATGACTTTTACAGAAAATGAGGTAAAGGGACTCAAAGCTGAAAGTAAGGGGGAAAGGGTATTCTATTAGTGTTTACGGTATCTCCTAACCGTCAACTTCAACCAGTTTTTTTCGGTTCCTGTAAAATATATCAAAGCGATTTCAGAAGCAAAAATGTTTGCTATGATATCAGTAGCATTTCACTATTTAAAACTTTTTTCGATAACTCAACCATGAAACGAGATAATTCGGGTCAAAGTGATAGTCTTTTTAATAATAATAATAATTTATTTGATTCAGGACTATCAGTCACTTATAAAATCAATGTGTTACAAATTAAACAAATGAGTTAGAAATTATGTTCGTCTAGGAACATGAAAGAAGATAAATTAACATGACTTAAATTAGTTTTAAAAGAGATGGATGAAATCAAGGGTGGGAACACGGTTTTTGGAAGCGAGTTCCAGCAGGGTATAATACGGAGAGTAAGAAATTGAGCAGAAAGTTTTGAAGCATTTTTTAATGTACAGCGAATGTAATATGGGTGGCGTCTTAGATGATTATGATGAAACGGGACAATGAATAGATTATGGGCAATTGCAATTTCCCGGGAAACTAGAGTTTTATACATAAAAACTAGATCAGATAGAAATCGACGGTACTCTAAGGATTCTAAATTGTGATCACGGAGACAATCAAAGTAGGATATACAGGGATAGTTGAACTTCTTTTAACATCGGAAAAGGAATGACTTTTGGACGCCTTCAAGAAGCTTGATTTGCTCCTTGAGGACGGGGGAGAAAACAATTGTACCATACTCAAGAATGGGGCGAATGTAGATGACAAAACATTTTACGAAATATCCATTTTAGACCGGCGGAGAACATTGAAGAAAATGTTAATTCGTTGGTGTGCTTTCCGGAGTGTGGTAGCGAAGTGGTCAGAGAAGGTCAGTGACGAATTCAGAATGACTCCCAAATCACGAATCCTCTGAACAGTTGGCAATCTCTCGTCGTTAATTGAAAAATGATTGTTAGTGTTATTAAGACGTTTTTTATGAGAGAAAGAGATAGCTTCACATTTAGTGGGTGCAACACTCAGTTGCCATGTATCACACCAGTCTTCCAGTTTTTCCAGATCACTTTCAATATGCAGTGGGTTAGTAGAGAATAGTTTCAAGTCATCAGCATAGAGTAGAAAGTTGGAAGAAAAGTTATCTCCTATGTCGTTAATGAAAATGAGAAACAGAAGCGATCCGAGAACTGAGCCTTGAGGAACACCCGAGAGGACTTCCGTCTCTCTGGACAGCTCGCCATTCACGATTACTCGTTGTGTTCTGCCAATGAAAAAAGAGGAAAGCCAATTGTGCATTTTAGAGACTATGCCATAAGATGTTAGTTTAAGCATGAGCTTTTTGAAGAAAACAGTATCGAAAGCTTTTTTGAAATCAATGGGGTTCAAACGCGTTGGCACACGGACATGTTAAGTCAAACCCTTTTTTATAACAAAAGACAGAAAGCGTTTGCATTGCGAGTCATTGGCTGTGAGGGAATCCCAGTCAATATGAGGCAAATTGAAGTCACCGACAAATAAGCATTTTTTGTGGGTTAGTAGCAAGAATTCGAGATTTTCAACCAACTTATCGAGGCAGTTCGCATGATTGGGATGATAAACGACAAACGTTTAAGGAGTTAAAAAGATTTTTAAAAAGTGAATATTCCATTATTATTTAAACGTGATGGAAAAATGTGAATAAAAGAAATCCACGTGGCAAAAAAAAGAAAAATACTTTTGAAAATACTTATAGATTAAAAAAACTACGTGAATTGTTTAAAAAGCCTGCGACCCTAGATGGCCCATTGACCTCGGGGAGAGTAAAAGGAAGAGGGAAGTTGAGAGAAGAAACAGTTCTCCTCTTCTCGGGACTCCAGAGAAGAGCCCCGAGAAGGGAGCTCTGGAGCTAGAGCTCTGGAGCTGGAGCTCTGAAGCTGGAGCTCTGGATCTGGAGCTCTGGAGCTGGAGCTTTGGAGCTGGAGCTCTGGAGCTGGAGCTCTGGAGTTGGAGCTCTGGAGCTGGAGCTCTGGAGCTGGAGATCTGAAGCTTGAGCTCTGGAGCTGGAGCTCTGGAGCTGGAGCTCTGGAGCTGGAGCTCTGGAATTGGAGCTCTGCAGTTGGGCAAGATGAAAGTGTGGAGGATCGATGCTGGTGTGGAGGATCTTCTGTGAAGTTCAAAATAATTTGTTCAATTCCTGGAACTGAAATCAGACGATTCAGGCCGAGAGAGATGGTCCAAGAGAAACAAGATTATTTAGAGCGTTCCTGATGGTTCAGACTGAAAATAAGAAAGAAAATACCCCACCGGTTAAGAAGACCCTAACTCAGAACCCTAACCCATCAAATAAAGCTTTGCTCAATATCAGGAAAAAATATTCCTGAAACTCCAAAATTTTAAGAATGACCAATACAGGTTTTACGATATATGTATAACATCCCCTACTTATTAAACCTACCCATTAAAACTGTTCTTTTAGAATTAAATTTTAATCAAGAACCCATTAAAATCAAAACCCACAAACGTTATGATGTCCTTACCGCATTTACACATCTTATCACTTCCTTTTGATGTTGCAGTTTACCTGTAAGTAACCGTTATCAGGATCGACCTCCATTCAACTAAACAAGGTTATAGATCACATAACTGTTGAAGACAAACAGTTGATATACTATTCTTTGATTTTCGAAAAAAATTCTGCATTTATGACTCATGAATTATAAATTTCCAGAAACAAAAAAAAATAGCAGCCTCAAAAATCATTGTTCCTCCATGCTGCGTCTCAATTTTCCATAACCATTCGTCGTTGTGAAACGCACACTCTCACATACACTCACAAATACACATTAAACCAAACGGCTCCCTCTTCCTCTGACTGTTTTGCTTGTTATCGTGTTATTGTGTCCTTCCATTCGTTTTCTCCTCAAACGAATTATCAGCTGAGTAACCACTGATAGAAGGGAGACCATTCTTATTTCGGAATCATGGGAAACTGCATCGTCGCGGGTGCCCGTGGATCGCTAGGCTTTGTTCCTAGCCGCATGTATTCTGGAAAAAATTCGAGCGAATCGATTCAGGTCAGTTTATTTTTTAGAAACTGGATAGCATGGGAAAAAATGAATTTTTTTCAAAAAATCTAGGAGCTATTTAGAATTTTATGATAATCAATTCCTGAAAGAATTCAAACTCGAAAGTGGAAAGTTGAATCAATAGCGAAACAATTACCGTAAAAACCGATATTAGAAGCGTCCCATTAATTGAAGGGCCCCTCTAATAGAAAGGCCCTCTGAGAAGGGCTTGGTAAAATAATAGAGTCCCCTGTAATAGAAGGGCTGTCTTAAAAATATCTTGTTTGAAATTCCTGAAAGTTCGAAACTTCGAGATTTGTTGAAACAAAATGTTTTTAAAAACTTGCTTAGTTTTGGTGAAATTGAATGATTTTCATGCATTTTGAAAAAAAAAATCATCTCATTTTTTTGATAAAAATTCTCGGAAAAGGGACGGAAAAATAGAAGGGCCGCTCTAATAAAAGGGTCCTCTCAAAGTACCTTGGAACAATAGAAGGGTCGGACCTTCTAATACACATCTTACGGTAAGCCAATCCTAAAGTAACATTTTCCAGGAAGAGACGGCTTTAAAGCCCGCCACTAAAAAACAAATGGTCCGCTACTACCGATGCATCCAGGAAATTGAAAAAACAACTACTGGAATCGTCAACATTTTCAACGATGCAGCTGAGAATGTCGACAAGACTGACGAATTCAACATCATTCTCCAGGTAACTTTCCATTGTTTTTTAGCTCCTTTAATTTTTATATTTCAGTCCTTGCTTACCCGTCTGTTGGATCTCCATAAAGATCTCAATCTTCTCATCCAACTTTCGTTCTACAAAATCGATTTCTCTGTCCACGAGAGAAAAGATCTTGCTGAGAAGATCAAACTTTTGGTGAGCAACTTGTGGAATGATATCAAAGGAACTCTCGAGGGAAATCCATTTGGTTTCGCTGAGATTGAAATCAAAATGGAAAATCTCGTCAAGCAAACTGGAGATCTCATCAAAATTGTCTGAAACATTCATAATTCTTCAATTTCATTCCTTTCCAATTCACATGTCCCCTCTCTGTCTCTCTGATGAACTTTTTGTTTGCCCAATTCAAATGCTCTGTTTCCTTGATTCAAAATTCCGCGTCTCGTGATTTAATGTTTGTCAACAAAGCGAGTTTGCATTTCCCCTTTTTTCTGTTTCGCAACTTTGTATTCCTAATAAATTGGTTCAGCTTTATTCCTATGTTACACGACGAAACCTACAGATCACACTCGGAAAAAGAAATTTGTGACCTTAAAAGATCAATTGAAATTTTGAAAAAAGTTGAAAATATCAACTTTGTATAAAAATAAGAAAAGTGATTTTCAGATTCCAGATAAGTTAAATGGGAAAAACTATATCTACACAGATGATCCAGAAAACAAAGATATTGTTGAGGCTTGCAAGGTAACAAATTAGAAGAAATTTAATTTTTTGTTGTAATAATGTTTTTTTTACAGCGAGAACGTTCCAAAATTTTGGAAGAATTGGCTGAATTGAGAAAGCGGAACTTGGCAAACCCAGAAGATTTTCAAAAGTTGATTTCTATTTTAGAAGAACTCGAGAATCTTCTCAATGGATTTTTCACGATGATATCAGAAGTGGAAGTAGAACAGTCAGTTGTGGAATATTATAAAAATATTGAACTTGAATTTGAAAAGTTGTGCAAAATTGTTGTATGTATGCGATGATTCTTATTAAATTTTTTTTTGATGAACTCAATGTATCTCCTCCGGATTTTCAAACTTTATATCCATTCATCTCTGTACATATTCTTTTTCCAATATGATTTGTTAACAATGAGCAATAAAATTGTTAATTCATTCACTTGCAATTTAAAGATGATTCATCCAAGAATTGAACAGTTTCGAAAAAATTGCTAACTGTTAAAATTCTTATCGCCTCCACCAAAATGTTGTTTGTTCCTCCCGTTATATTGCTATGTTTAAATTTCGAGTCCTCTTCTCTAGAGAAGATAATTCTCTTCATTTAGTTTTCCTTCTGCCACACGAATGAGTGTAAGTGATTTCATTTGAGTTAAATTAGAATGAAGTAATGAATACATTATTTCTAATTAAAATGTTATTTATTAAGCTGGTATGCGGAAATCGGAGCGGTAAGAGAGAAAATCTAGGGGCGAAATCTAGTTGCCGAAATACCGTAGTTAGCAAATATTCTTTACTTCCTTATTTTCTCGATTTTCGTCCGTTTTCCGGCAATTTTTTTGAAGGTTCGAACACAAGAATTGCCGGAAAGCCATGGTGATCGAGAAAAAGGACCAAAAGTTTTAAGTTACGGTTGTTGTCGTTGTAGGACCTTCAACCACAGCCACTGGCGTTTCTCTTTAATTTTAATTTTAATTTATTGACCAGGTGAATAAAACATTAGAGGGCAGGACATGAAAGACTCAGAAAAGATGCCCCTCACGAGGCCGATCTGAGTAGGGGAGGGGAAACGGGATAATTTAGATATTTGACACAGGAAAAATGTAACCGGTAAAAAAAAGGAAAATAGGGGAACAAATATATCAATAACGGGTAATACTGGAAGAAATTAAGGATTCAAACTCGGAAGGTAGGAGAAATCACAACTCTATATTTTTTTGAACCAGACTAATAGTCTCTAACAAAAGTATTTTATTTCAGGGAAATAACGACTATCAACGGATGCTTATGCTTCAAGCAGAGACTAATTTCCAATATGACAAAAGTGAGATAATGCTAGCTGCAGAGAAAGATCGTGTGGAGGACCAATTCATAGGTACAATTTTTCACGCTAAACAAGCCGTAGAAGCAGTTTTGAAAGCTGTAATTGGAATATCAAAGCAAGCTTTTGATTTGAAAAGAGGAGGTCGGTTGAAGCGACACGCTCGACTCATTCTGATAGTGAGTTTTTGAAAAACTTTCACATGATAATAAAAAAATAATTTTCAGGAAAAAATCAAGCACGTCAACTTCTTATTGGATTCTATGAACTCCGCTACTGACTCAATTCTCCGTCCAATAGACTATCATGTAGAGAAAGCGGAAGAATGTCATGAGGTGGCTAGGAGAATCAAAGATGCCACACTCCAGTTCACAAGTACTTTAAATAAACTTGAAGCTTCCCTGAATGATGATCCAATTGATCGAACTCCAGAAGTTCTTCAAGAAATAAAGAGCAAAAATAATGTATTGGGTGACCTGATCGGAACGTTTCCACAACTTCACAAAAGCAACTACAAGCTACAGGCAATTGAGAAAAGCATGAGGAATCTAACAAATAATTGAGAAACTTTTAGTATTGTTTTCATTTCACTTCTATTATTTTACAAAAAAAAATAACAATAAACGATTGAGTTCTAATGAGCATAACAACCAATATCACTAGTGAAATATGCATCTGTCGCATAATAATAAGTTATCGGATACAAAGTTTCCATTGGAATGTGTGTGGCAGTGACATGAGTACATTTGATTTTTGGATGTTGAATAAATCCGCATAACTGGGGACCAGGGCATTTGATATCTCCGAGTCTTCCAGAATAATGATATCGATAATATCGATCGTTGTAACATTTGACGACAAGATCTGTGAAGTAATGAATGTTTGGAAGTTTTGCGAAGATTTTTCTGATCCGAGGCTTTCTTATCATTCTTCGAAGGTCCTTTTCAATGCTTAGGATATCTTTGCTGGAGATAATTTTTGCAGTGGAGTTGTCGAAATATAATGGTTCAATAAGAATCCTTCCACTCTGTTCCTGGTCATCAGTCTGAAATTTGAGAGTTTTTTATATTTTTTTTCCATAAATTATTAATAAAGTTTTTCCAGCACTTCCTTGCTTGTTCTCAACTCACCCAAACGATTGTTTTCAAATGAGTAATAACATTCTCTGTAACTTCGTATTTTTCTAATCCATTCGGGAGAATCGGCGGAAAATGTATCCATGTGTAGTTCAGATTCCTAGGATCCACCACAATTTTTCCCGTTTCTCTCTGTAGTTAAAATCACATTTTATTGTATTTTCTAATCCACCCACTTTATGTTTACATTCCAAACTACCGAACATTTTCTTTAGCGAGAATCTGGAACTATCTCTCGCTACCACTGCATCATAATTTTCTTTATGGTAGAAGATATAAGCCAATTTCTTCTTTCCATCCATTAATTTTTGAAACTCTTCTGCATAGGTTGGTGCTATTTTGGGTATCAGAACATCATCCAGGTCTAGAAAAGTTACAAATCTAGCAGATTCCTTGAACTGTAGAAGACAATCGGTTTGAGAAGCAGCTTGATTGCGGAATTCAATCTGATTGAAAGGATCGGCGGTGGTTTTAGGAACTCCAGGGAAGTCAACTTTCACCCAAGGCTGCACAGTCATGTATCCCTAAAACTTTAAGTGTTGGAATCGTTTCATAAATTTCCACAAACTTCTCTTTCATATTCTTTCATTAGCTCGTAGAAAGAAGTAACAGAACTGATCAGATATAGATTCATATGAGCTCCGAATCTGGAAACAAGGCATTGAATAATTTAATTTTCTCGATCCTGAGATCTCAGCATGTTAGAAGTTTTGACAAGAGGTATCCGGTATATATCCGGATCAAAAGATTTCTGCTACTTCCGTCATCTGCCAATCATTCAAAAAAAGGAGGAACATAGGAAACGTTGGAAACTAGTGATAGCTAATTCTTGTCAAGAATTCTAGTCTATGTCTCTTCCGGCTAGACAAAAAGATCTTATTGCTCGAAATTCTCAAAGTTTGGTCTTGGAATTTTTAAAAATCACCGCGTTGTTTCTTTCCCACCCTTCTCAACCATTCCCGTGTTTCATCCCACATATGTATATTCTTCCGACTTACTTTCTATAAATATGAACCGCTAACAAAAAGTTCTGCCATTGCTCACTAACGAACAACGGAGACGTACAAACAACAACGTCTCGTTTCGTATATGAAGGCATTGCGAATGGAATCTGAAAGATTTCCTTTTCCCATTTCCTATCTGAAAAAATCCAACCTCAGCCATTCCATTATCCCCGAGCATACTGATGCTTTTCACATTTGATATTAGTTGTACTGTTGCAAAAATCGTTATTACTTGACAGACTTCGTGAGGTGTCACCCTGAAAAAAAAGACTTACATATTTTCTGAAACACTGAAATCTGCACCTTACGTAAGGAGCGCTAACTATGATGCTAGACGATGCATTTTGAGCCATTATAATTAGCTCCGATGGATCTGGTGACAAAATATGTTCCAATTGGTTAGCTGGATTCCTGACAAGGTTTATGCTCAAAACGAGAGCCAATGCATTGTCACCCAAACTGAATAACACCAAGTCTTATTAAAAAATTTTAATTTGAAAAATCAAACCTTTTAGAAATCGGATAGTAATAGGAAGAAGTAATAAATGCCTTGAGCTGCCTACCATTACGAAGAGTTTTACCAGTTGCAATGAGATCATCTCTGAATTTGAATAATCAAAGTTCGAATAAACAACCTGGTACTAACTTACGTAGTGACAGTGAGCCCAAAACTGAACTCAATAATTGTTACAAATAACCATACAACAAATAGGACAATAAATACTAGAACGAAAACTTTTTTGGGCCTCCGACAGAAGCCGCGCATTGTTTCGTCGTCAGAAAGCGAGGAAAGAAAAGGAAAATCCATTGAGTGAAATAGAAATGATTGGCAGTAGGAGATATTCCAAACTTGTATTTGAGATCTCATTCTCGATAGTCTTTCAATCGTTCGAACAAGAAATAAGTCTAGTAGAGACATTTTTGACACAGAGAAACGGATCCAATTAATCTTTGAAAAAAAAGACACATCAAAACATACTTCAAAAATGAGACCTATTTTTTGATATCATTGGCTTGGTGGTCTGGGTTCAGAAAATCTTGAACCATCAATCTTATGGTCAAGCTGATCAAAAAGCAAATCCTGTAGTGTCTATAGTACAGCTCAAGCACTTAGCACGATTGATTCATGACTTTGATGGAACAAATTTTTGGAGTTCTCCTAAAACAGAGGCTGTTAAAGGGATGGATAACGCGTCCCAGAAATGACCATGTTTCTGCAGAAACATCACAGTCGTGGTGAAGTCCGAAAGCAACACATCCCAGTCTTGACTAAGTTCCAAAGAGAATTAAATTACAAATTTTAATTTTTTTTTTCATCAATAATCCCTAAAACTGGCAACACTCTAGAGGAATGCCGAAAAAAATGTGGGTGAAACCTATCAAAGTGCAAAATCTTTGCAAAACTGCCTACAATTCTCATTATGCTGATTCACACTTTTTTCTATTTTGAATCGTATTCTGAGATCCACAAATTGCATAACTTGTTCTGTTGTCTGATGAATAACACACGGACAAATCATATTTTTTATTTCCTCGATTTTCAGCTGTACAAAACAGAACACAAACTTTGACGTATTCTAACTCTTACGCATTCTTAACTTATCCTACCAGTTCTACGTGCACCGAAACTTTGCAAAATCTGCATCGTTTCAATAAGACACATCGGTTCAGACACCCCCATAAATCTGGGCTCATCCAGCTCCTGACGTCTCGTCGCCAAAAATGTAAATAGTTTTAAATCATACAATTTCTATGAGAATGCTCCAATCTGTCATAGATATTGGTCCTCTTCATTGGTCCTCCTATAAAACATCGTTCATTGACTCATAAGATTCTCAAAGAATATGTGTGTAAGTGTGCATCTACACGTCATTTGCACACATTCCTGTCTGATTGGAATCCCCAATGAGGGCATCCTCAGATACTCCCTCTCTTTCGCTCTTTTGAAACTTGTTATGTTTTGCCTCTTTTCGCCTTCAATTAGGTTCGTTTCCGTATTTAAAGACTACGCATTTTGATCGAACATAGATCGTAAACATCCCCCGGGAATTTATAGATATTTTTCCTTTTTCGTTTTGTTTTTTGAAAAATAACAGTGTCATTTCTCAGTAAATCTATATTCTTTGAATATCCAAATTATGCAAGGCCGTCTTATGTCTTTTATAAATAAATCAGGTCTGAGATGTTCGTTTTTAGATGTATTAGACACAGAATAACTAAGTCATTTCCTCATCCAATGAAAAATGTACATAACTTAAAATTGTATGACTGTTCTGATGGGTTGAAAGGAGTTCTCATTTTTCAAAAATCAAACAACTTTTTCCGTTTATCTTTAAACCGATCTAATTTTGAATAGGCCTTGCAAAACTTGCCCACAACATGTATTAGAAAGGCCCCTTCAGTAGAAGGGCCCTCCAAGATGGAAAAATATAAAGACCCCTGTAACATAATTATCCCTTTTAAAATGTGTTGTTTGAAATAGGAAAATTTCGTACATCTTCAATGAAAAATGTTTCGCTAATTTCCAGAAATTCCCAGAAATATGCTGAAACGTTATTTTTGCTCAAAATCTATCTTAATTTCGGTTGAATTGATAGATTTTCATGTGTTTTACAACAAGAATTTGCCAAATGTTTTGATGAAAAACTTTGGAAAAAATGACCGGAATTATAGAAGAGTCCTCCGGAAGTACCTCGGAGCAATAGAATGGACGGTCCTTCTAATACAGGTTTCGCGGTATATCCAAAAATAAGTAAAAAAGCGATCAGATTCAGTCATTATTTCAAAATTGGTCATCCAAAACATCTCTATAATAAAGTACCCACTCTCCTTGCAGACATTTCTCTCCAACATTTGCAAGGGTTCCCCTGAACTTTTAAACATCTCTCTTTTCATTTTTCGAGACGAGGCTCATTAAATATCCGTGCGTCCCACAAGACTTGTTTTCGAATAATCAAGTCATATCTCTCATTTACTCTCACTTCAAAATGATCCAATTGCTCTGCTGCAAAAAATTTAATTTCAAAATTTTTTTTCGTAAATGCTCCATTCATTGAGAGCTGATGCCTCGCTATCTAATCCCATCACTTCTGAGACAATATTTTTATGAACATGTTTTTTGGGCATTCTCTTGCTCATCTTTAGCCGAAAAAGCCTGAAATTGAATTGCATCTTCTTCTCATTTTTTTTTCTTTCTTTTATTCCAAAAATGTGAGTCATTCATCAACACAATTTCCGGACTACTCGTCTTGTTTCTCACTTCTCGCATTTTTCCAGTAAATAAGAAGAGATTCAAACTCTTTTTCTCGTCTTATTTCAACAAATACTACTTTTCTTACTACTACTTTTATAGATCAATGTTCTCTTGACTACTGGAAATGAAAATTTCGAGAAGTCTTACAATTTAGAGAGATTTTAATCTAGAAAGGGGGATTTTCCAAGAAAATATCAAAACGATTAGGATGAACAAGGTCTGGCTAATATTTATCTTGTTTTCTCGAATGCCCAAGCTTTTGATTTTTTGAAAAGTTGAGCACCGATTCCGTGATAAACAGTAGTTTTGGGCTCGTTAGATTATCCGAGGGCTAAGCAGAACGCAAAACCGTTTAGCTCACTATAATCCTTCTCTTCATCAATGACTACCAATTTTTCGTTCATTGCCAATTCGCACGCCTACTTTTTCTTTATATTCGGCCACAGCTCCTCCTTTTTTTCCAGGTTCAAAAAATTTCATTCTCCCTTTCTTTTTTTCAATATCATCACCTTGATTCAAAATTAATCTCATTACATTTTTTTCAGGAAAGAAAGGAATGAACCGATTTTTATACTATGGAGATGCAGAATCAATTCCTGGTTACAATTGCAGCTCTTACAAACCTCCGAACCCGAATTTAAATGTAAACGTTTTTGCTGGAGCCCTAGATATTGTTTATGGAGTTATTGTGATCGTAAGTGCAGTAAGTTAGAATTAATACAAATAAAAATAAAAAAGTTCAGTTTCTGTATGCTCCAACTGTGGTGGTTTTTCACCGGCAATCAAGGCTGGCATGTTTCAAAATCATGTTTTTTCTTGGACTATTTGATATAGGTGCAATAAGTGAGTTTGAGATACAAAAGTACAGCGTAAAACCTGTATTGGAAGGACTCCTTCTCTCCGTAGAAACAGAAGGGTCCCCTCTAATTCAAGGGTCCTTTAAAAGTAATGATCTAAAAATCTATGATTGCCTTTTTTCTAGCTATCAACTCTCTCGTCACTGGATTCCTTTTGATGCAAGGAGCCTCTTATTGTGACTATCCAAACATCATCTACATATCTGGAGCCATTGGTCTTGGTTGTTGGTGCAGTGCATGCCTAACATGTCTTGTTCTCGCCCTCAACCGAATCCTTGACATGGTCTGTCCCCTAATGGTCAAAATTTACTTCCGTGGCTATCGAACATGTGCAGTTCTGATGGCTCCAATTCTCTACGGATGCTTCTTCTTCCTCTTCACTTCACCAGTAATTTTCTCCGCTGAACATCAAACTTGGTTCTTCGATCCAAGGACAATGGAAGGCCACTACAAGGACTACACCAACATCCCACACACCATAAACAACTTCTCGCTGGTTTTCTTGACGTGCTTCCTTTACATCTTTTTTTGTTTGAAAGTGCGCAGCCAGTTTCGAAAGAGCTTCCGACCAAAGCGAACTGCTAGACAGCGTCAGGTGAGTGTGTGATCAGCTTGGGATCCTAATGGTCACGGGTGGAAGATAATCCATTTTATCTTTCAGATATTTCTACAATCCACACTTCTTTGTCTTATACATTTGTCCGCCTCCGTGCTTTACGTCATCATGCAGTTTGTTGAAATGCCAAAGTGCTTAACGATTCTTTCACAATATCTTTGGCAGTTGGCTCAAGGTGAGAATTTTTTTGTGAGAAAAAGGAAGGAAAATCATATCAGGAGCAGGGGTCAATAATTCCCACTTGTAGTTTTTTGTTCTTGATCCGGATGAAAATTTCTGACGTACAGAAGAAAATATGTAAAATTCGTGTTCTCAAGTCAAGTGTCATAAGCAGTTATCCAATATCTTGACTCACGTATAAAATCTCATATTGACCTAAATAATCAGTGATCATCCATTTACTTTTTTTCCAGGATGTCCCGTCATTATCTATCTATTATTCAATCGCAAAGTTCGTGCAGCTTTATTGGTTTTTATGACCTCCTCCTCCCAGGTAATCCTCCTACAGATTATTTTTTCGTAGTTTAAGTAGTCTGATTCGTTTGGAATCTGATCTTTTACTTCCGCTTTTTTCAGGATAAATCATCGAACTTCATTAGAAAAAGCGCCGACAATCGAATGATGTTGTTGCAATTGACTCCGAGCCAGAATCAAAACACGACGGCTGCTGTGAGAAAATTGACAGAACATGAGAACGAATTGCAATGCAGGATACACCTGACAAGTGACTACGAGCCGAACCAAGTGGAAATCAAAGTGGATCCCGAAAAGCAGGAGCTAACTAATTAATTGCTATTGTATATTTGTTTACACTCATTTTGCTTCCCTATCAACTAGTTAGAACACTCTTGTCATGTGCTCAAAACCTGTTTTATGAATAAACTAGACTGGTTGTTCTCTAGAGACATTCTGCTGTCTGAACATGATAGAGAATCAGAGACGTAATTATTTGTAAAAGGCAGCTCATATATGTTTTGGTTGCTCATTCAACAACTTACGATTCAATATGATTCTGATGCATTATTTCAATCGAACCTACTTCGAGCAGGATACTGATCAATGGCCTATGATCTCATTGATTTTCAAAATCGAAATAGTTTTAATTATTTTCAAGTAGGTCTTTCATAAATTTTTGATAAACAGCATTTCTGTTTAGTATCTTGCACACGTGGCTCTTTCACTGGATCAATCTGAAATCCGTACAGTTCCATAATAATTGTGCAAGCATTATGATCATCCTTTACATTCAACATATCGTCGCAGATTGTGCCTAGATTGGTCAAAGAGTTCTTCTATTACAAGATAATTTCACAGGTAGGACAGCTGATTAAGAAAATCTAAAAGTTATTTTTTGGTGGGTTTGCATTAATCACTGTTATTGTTTTCCTCATAACTGAATTTTCGGTCAAGGAAAACAATATTTTGTGCCGGAACTAGAACGATTGGTTTTTTGATTGGGTCCCAGAAATAGAGGGGCACTTTTCAAAGTGTGTTGTTTGAAATTAAAAATTTCTGTGAAAAATATTCCGGGAATTCCACAACTTTACCAAATTTTGTTAAAGCACTCTTATTGGCTTAAAAAACTTTCCCAGTTTTAATGAAAGTTGTGGTTTTTCATCAATAGTGAACGAGAATTCACCAATTTTTCAAAATTGAAGTTTTCGTGAAACTAGCCGAAGAAATAAGAAGGCTCCTCTAACCTTCTAATTGAAAGGTCCCGTCAGGACTGTCCTTCACAACCACTCATTATTTCAGAGTACCCACTATTCTGTTTCCTATGTTCTAAACTATGCCGTGAATAAATTTTTTTTTCAAGTTTTCAGATCCATTCGAGTCGGACTCGTTCATTCGTTTGTCCTACATTCGCGCGTTTTGTCTATTCCTTGGCCTATCGATACTTCCATGTCTAATAATTGAACGAATCTATGCCACCATACACATATATTGTCAATGAGCAGTTTTTTAGAAGGGCTGGCTACCACCGTTCCATATTCCAAATACGGTCGCACAAAAGTCTTATATAGTAATGACATTAATCTAACGTTCTTACTATGATAAGTTTTAAAAATAGAGTAACTAGCATATTTCGCCCTATTGATAGCTTTCTGCCAATGGTTAGAGAAATCTAATCTCTCAGTGATTATAAATCCTAAATCCCTAACTGTAGTTTCCCGTTTAATTTTTTCATTATCAAGGAAATAATTTATATATTTTGAGTTTTCACCAAGACTGATGCAGCAGGTCTTTGATAGATTTAATTCTAGTTTAGCATTCATTGACCACTCATAGATTTTATTGATTGATTCTTGCAGAGATCCTCCCATGTCTCCTTTTTTAATTGGGCAGTATATTTTTAGGTCGTCAGCAAACTGTTTTACTTGCACTGGCGATGAAATTTCTGCGCTCAGGCTATTAACATAGACACAAAACAAGACTGGTGACAACACCCCACCTTTAGGAACTCCGCATACTACTTGCTTAGGCGAGGAAATATAATTATTGATTTTTACCCTGAATGTTCTGTTACTAAGATATGAATTTATCCATTCTATAAGATATGAATTTAATCCTATAGAGGCCAGTTTTTCAAGTAATAAATTATGAGGTACCTTATCAAAAGCCTTACTGAAATCAAAATAAATTATGTCTACCTGATCCCCTCTTTCAAGACTAGAAGTCCATTCATTTAAAGATTCTAACAGACAGGAAGTTGTTGATCTACCTACTCGAAAGCCGTGTTGGCTGTCACTCCAAAATTGAATATTTGCTAGATGGTCATTGATTCTTTTCAGGATACACCTTTCGTAAACTCTACAAATAACGGAAGTGAGACTAATAGGCCTGAATTGGCTTGGGCTAGAAGGAGTTTCTACTTTTTTTATAGGAATAACAATTGCCTCGTTCTATTTTTTCGGGGTTTTTCCTAACATCATTGAGTAATTACAGAGTTGTGCTATTGGGCTAGCTATATATATATATATGGATGTCAATTTTAAAAAACTAGAAGGAATATCGTCTGGGGTTAGTGTATTATTACTCTTAATTTTCTTAAGTAACTTATAAATTTCATCTTCAGATACCCATATCATTTCCTGGATGTTTTTTGTGGTATTATTGGCTTGGAACGTTGGACTAGGATTTGTAAATTGTGATTCAAAATACTCCGATAGACATTCAGATTTCTCATAGTCTTCACTCAATACTATTCCGGAAAAGTTTTTGAAATCTGGTGTCTCGCCAGATTTCTTCTTTAACACAAATTTAGAAAACTTAGAAAACCGACTGACACCTTTTTTCTGAAGAATTGCAATTCAACATTGCCTTTATATTTTTGCAATTTTTTCCTAAATTTTTTTATAATCAAGGCGTATTGTTCAAAGTCAGAATCACTTCTAGTTAATTTCGTTTTTTCCCAAAGGTAGTCTACAAGTTTACTGAACGATATCAGGTATTGGGGGAGATTTCCATATTCAGAATTTACTCTAATCCAAGGAACAGTGCATTCAAAAACATGATTAAGGTAGGAGAGGAAATTATCATATTTGTCATTAATGTCTAAACTTGAACCAAAGATTTGTGTCCAGTCAACTCTATGTAACATTTGTTGGAGCAATTGCCTATTTACGTTTTTATAATCAGGGATAGAGATGTACACAGGAGTTGGCTTGTGAATAAGGTCAAGTTGGAAAGATATTTTTGAATGATCGCTGAACCCTATTGGACTGGA